TGGGGAGCATAGGAGAAACAAGGCAAGAACATGTGGTTAGATATGTTATTATTAACATCCTGGCTTTCATTTTAGGTGATAGCCCTAGAGGTGCTTATTACTGAAAATTTAAAAAACTACTATTAATATAAAATATAATATAAGTAACTATATAAATGAATGCAAGTCATGCAATGTTAAGAGTATATAAGTACTATGGTTCATTACAAATCCAATGAGGAAAGGAAAAAATTTATTTTTAAGCTTTTAAAAGGCTTAGTTTAGGGAGTGTGCGCTTATGATTTGGCATTCCTTCACTCTTATCCTCCAAACTTATTTAAAATATTTTTGAATGATGAGAAAAAAAGTTATGTTCTCAGTTACTCTACTTTTATCCCTAATCTCCCAATCATTTGCATTCTCCTTTTCCCCAACAATCTTAAAATTAAGAAGGATGTTATCATTATCCCACCACTTACTTCTGCAGAATCACTCATTTGCTACCAACCTTACAATCTTTCCTAGTTCCCCCTTTATTCTGTCATCTAATCAGTATTCAATCAGTACTTAAGAATTACTATGAGTCAGGTTCCATACTAGGAAACAATACTATAAAGAATAAATAGCGCTATAAATATGAGTTACTGGATCAGCTCTCAAGGAGCCTGCAGTCTAGTCTAGGCATGTACACCAATAAATACAATAAAAAGAAACAAATGATAATACAGGTAATGCAAAATTGTTTGACATAAGGCAGGGAGAGCTACACAGCAGATGTAAACTTGAAACAGCACTTTGATGGGCATAAAGGTTGGTAAGGACATTCCCAAAAAAAGTAGAGAGGCTTAAAATAGAACAATAGTCTGTTCAGAGAGTCACTGGCAGCTGTACAGGGCCAGAGTACAGAATACAAAAGAATGTGATAAGAGATGAAGCTAGAAAGACAGGGCCTAAAAAAGCAAACTAAGAAGTCTGGATTTTAGTCTGTTTGAGAACTCAGTCCTCCTCTTTCAAAAAAAAGAGCCACCCTGTGCAACCACAGAAACATCCTTGAACACAGGAACTTTTTATTTTTTTATTTTTTATTTATTTATTTTTTTAGGCAAGGCAACCTTGGTTGACCTTGTCAGCTTACAATCCCTTATTTTTTATTTTTTATAGCACCTGGTCTTCCTAGGTGGTCTCCCATCCAAGTACTAATCAGGCCCAACCCTGCTTAGCTGCCGAGATCAGATGGGATCGGGCTTGTTTAGGGTGGCATGGCCGTAGACTTAGGAATTCTTACCTTTTTCTGCCATGAACTTTTCTGGCAGATTGCTAAAGCGCACTGATCTGTTCTCAGAATGTTTTTATATACAGAAAATACATAGGATTCCAAATAATTTTTATAGACATTCCAATATTAAGGTAGTGAAACACAAGTGTGGGCTGTGCATAGTGACTTTCTTCTGAAAAGTCCAGTAGGAAGGAGAGAAGAGTAACTTTACGATGGAGAAAACTGATAGACGTTACACTTCAGCCAATCGAGTTTAACAACAGTGATGCCATACTGACAGTATGACAGTAAATGCATCTGTTATGGGATGAAATGGCACTTCACTTCCCTGGGCTTCCTCTCAAAAACACATTAACCACTCTAACCATGAGAAAAATATCAGAAAAATCCCAACTGGAGAACACAAAATAGCTGACCAGCACTCTTTAAAAATGGTTGGAGTATAAAAAATAGGAAAGTTTGAGAAATTGTCACAATGAAGGGGACTAAAAGAGACATGACTACTAAATGTAATCTGGTATCCTAGACAGAATCCTAGAAAAGAATAAGGTCTAGGGAAAACTGAGGAAATCTGAATAAAGTATGGGTTTGAGTTAAAATAATCTATCAACATCTGTGCAACTGTTGTGAAAACTGTACCATACTAATGTAGGATATGTTAACAACAGGGGAAACTAGGTATGGGGTATACAGGAACTCTCTGTACTATATTTGCAATAATTCTGTAAATTTAAAACTTAAATTTAAAATAAAACTTAAAAAAAATAAGATGCACAGAACTAGAAAATGAATTACATTGAAATAATTATTTTAAAAAACAAATTCGTGATATAATATTTGTGCTTCTTTAACACATTAAAGAATAATGTGTTAAAGGCAGGTCTATTTATGGTAATTTCAAAGTAGTGATACATATAAATAGTACTTCAAGCTATCTGCAACAACTACAATATATGAAATTATCTGAGATTGCTTTAGTGACAATTAAATGTACTAACACTTCTGTAGTTTGTAGTCTATTGCCAAAACTGCAGAAATGTTAAATCTCTAAGAGTTCAGTAAAAATAAAGATGTAATTTTTTTGCTATCCAAGTTCAAGACCATTGAACACTACCCATGCACTGCAGGTTAAGAAACAAAGGAAAAGAGAAAATAACTACTAACGCTAAATGGACACTGTGTTGCAGGATCTCTGACAGTCACTACACATACTTCATCTCATTAAACCCTCCACAGACAAGGCAGCTTATCCAAGCTGTACATGGCCATGTGACCAAAAATGGATTCAAATTATGTAGTCTGACTCAAAATGAAGATTCTGACAATGCACCTCTAAAAACAATTTCCGGCCCCTAGTTGTGGAATTTTTAATTATACTGTAGCTCACCAATGTTCCTATTAAACAACTTTCTGTTTAGGATGAATCAGGCTAAAACTAAAATACAACACACGTTCTAGAGCTCTATTTGGAATAATAATAATCAGCAGCTAACCAAAAGGCAAAAGGTAAACACTAAAGCTCCCCACCCTTATATAAATCTGAAAAGTAAATTTTTCTTTCCATTTACCAACTCTGATACACCTAGTTTGTTAGTATCCTTCTAAGATGCATGTGTATGTGTGTGCACATACACCTATGTAGGCTTTTTTTTTTAGGCGAGGAAACCCTTGGTTGACCTCACAGATTGCAAGGACCTTGTCAGCTTACAAGCCCTTATTTTTTATTTTTTACACCTACAGCACTTGGTCTTCCTAGGTGGTCTCCCATCCAAGTACTAACCAGGCCTGACTCTGCTTAGCTTCCGAGATCAGACGGGATCGGGCTTGTTCAGGGTGGCATGGCAGTAGACTTACGTAGGCTTTTAAAGTAAATATAGCAACACGTGAGATATATATGCCATATTTTATTCAGTCTATGGCAGTTTCTTAGTTTATCCAACTATTACTGATTCTATTCTCTTAAAACTAGATGTGCTGATACAATGACCTATCTCCTAAGCTTCATTTTCAAATGAATGTATAATTGACCAACTTAAAGCAGACTTTCTAAAAATAAAAAGTTTTCAATAATTCATCTACTTCAAAATGTCTTAGTTGATGTATACTACTCCATGAAATCTATATCCAAATTATGATTTTTTTTTCCCCCACACAACATGCCATTCGATCAGTAAATTACAACTAAACAGATCTGGATGTGAATCCTCCATCTCTCTTAGCACGTGTCTGTCATCTTCGACAAACCACTTTTTGTTTGTATTTCAAGACTAAATTTTGTATTTCAATCACTGGCAATTGAGGACAATAATAAGAGATATTTATTATGTAAGGACTGAAAGAAAAAAATGCTTGCAGAGCACTGAGCAAGTGTCAAACAGTATTCATACAATATTTTTAATTTTGAGTTTTACTTTTTAGTAGATTCTCCTTTAGCAATGTTCACAGAGGGTCTTTGCTAATATTTTTTTTGTTAGTTTTAGGTGATTCTTTAAATAATGAGAACCTTGCTCTAGAGAATAATTTTTATCTTTCTTTGGAAGAAGCCAAAATCATTTCCATTTAAGGACACATAAGCAGCTACTACAACACATTTTAGTTACCCATAAGAAAGTGAAGCAGGCCACGTTCATCTGCTATAAGAAAATTAAATATTAACAAACAGTTCTTCCAGAATTATTGAAGAGATTTAAAAATTAGACTTTGCAAGTATGGTGATTTAAGTAAATCTAAAACATAAACAAAAATTAGAATAAAACAGGAAAATGATGCCTGGCTTTTCAAAAGAATTATTTTCCTACTTCTACTGTATGATGAACTGTTCTAGGAAGTTCAAATTATCATCCCATTTTACTTATATGGCAATTTCCAAGAATACAACTGCTGCATTAAATGAGGCCCTTCCTTTTATAAATACTACACAAAATAACACATGCTCACCTTTTGTCAATAAGTATCATTAAGATGCTACTGATTAGGAATTTGTGACTTTCTCTTTTGCTACAAAGTTACTTTTGATATTGTGTCAGCTTATTAAAATTTTAGTAAGATTTTATGGTAATTTAATGAAGCTGTTATAAAATCCTAAATACTTAAACTTATATATTACGACTTTTCTTGGGGTTATGTATGTCAGTTTAAATATGAGAATTACTGTTTATAAACATATATTAAAGCCCTAATTGAAGAAAACACAAATATATTAAATTTATTTATTAGTTCTTACTTGATAATTTTTTAAGCTAATTTTTTAAAACCAAAATCAGTTATTAGCCTGGCTTTCTCACACATACCCCCCTCCCCATACATACAAAGGTATGAGGAAAGAGAGCAAAATAAAACAGAAAAAAGTATAAAATTTGATTTTGTGAAAATGTTTAATTCTTGTTTTGCTAGAAGCTAACATTATGAAGCTGCAATATTAAAGCAACAGCAGCAACAGCAACTCAACAAGAGTTGTTTGGCCTAAGCCAGTATTATTACTCTCACTCTATTAAAATTCCTATTACTATAACTATTTTACTTCAGCATTATCACCATCAGCATGCAATCATTTCTAAGCCCAAAGATGCTTTCAAAAAGCTTTCTACCACTTTTTTTTTCATTTCCCTCTCATATACTTTTTAAAATTAAAAACAAATATGAGACACAAAGGGTTAATGACCTTTCCAAACCTAAAGATAAATGACATTCTAAAATGTTTGAGTGTGATAAGACTATGAGGCTAACCAATCACAACTTCAGAACTCCTATGTGACATCATAAGACCTCCCTAGAACACTTTACTTTTTCTCCTCCACAGGCTTCAATTGTTCTCATAAATCTGTTAACAGAAAACTTTCTAGCTAAACGTGGATAAGACTCCATACTACTCACAATACTCTATATCTTGTGATCATCACAACAGCCAAGGTAAGAAATAGATTTCACTGATTTTGGTAAGTCTTACTTTCTGTAATTCAAACATATTGAACTTTAAAAAAAGAATTAATTATATATTGTAAATTTCAGTTCAAAAGTAGATAATAAAATGGCTCACAGGACAAAAAGCTTAATTTCTAAAAAAATGCTTATCCACTCGGTGACTAAGACTTAACTTTGAAGTAATATAGGTTGCCTTGATCCTCAATATTGTTTGTCATTTTAATTTAACTTTCACTTTTATTTCACTTTTATTTTCAAAACTGAATTTCTGCCAATTAAAATATCTTTCAATTATGTCACCATATTTGGTGGTAGTGGTAATTTGATTTCTCCATGCAAAAACAACGGCTTCATTTTATTATTTATTACTCTACTGAGAAACAGGGCACGAGTGGGCTACTTACATCTAGAATACTACGAGCAGCTGTGACTGTCTGACATGCACATCACTGGCATGACTATTCCAATATTATCATCATGGTTCCTTACAGGGAATATTAACAAAGTAGAGTTGAATAAAACCATTTTAAACGCTTTTGAAGACTTTTTTCCTCTCTATAAAGTCCAATCAACTTTAACAAACACTGCTTTAAAAAAATCTGAGTTTTTAATAAATTACTTGTATTAAATTCAGTACTATATCAATGTTTTGAAATTTAAAAACACCTGTCAAAAACACATGTAAAATTCTAAAGTTATAGAATAGTAATGCAGCACTTTAAAAATAGATGTTATTTTAACAACACAAACATTCCTAAATATCTCATTTGAGTTATTTGATAAAACGAGTGTTTATTCTACCTCTTATACTTTTAACAAGTTATAATCCTCAGTTTCCTCTCTTGTATTTAGAAGGGGAAAAAAGAAAAAGAAAGAAATGCTTAGGAATAAAGATGCCACAGTAAATTTTATAATTTGTTTAAATTCTATTCTATTCTTGATGTTATAATCCTCTTTAATATACAAAGTGTGTCTTCATTCTTAAATCTCAATCATGGTATAAAGAATAGTACATTGATTTTATTTCATTATTTTTATTTTCATATATATGTCAAAATAAAATTTAGCTCTAGAATTCTAAATTCTTATGACAAAAGTTAACTCTACTGCTTCTTACAAATAAGAACTAATTCCATAAGCAGCTTTCCTTAAGGCATGCAAAAACATATCTGATTTTTGTCTACCTCTGAGGCACCCTAACTGCCTCTCAATATTTTTCTATTCGTAAAATGTTTTTCCTTTGATGTTATACAGAAATCATTTAGTGAAGGTGCTTTATATGCATATTTATTCAAACACCTATCAAATTACATTCTCACATTTCAAATGAGGTGTTTGTTTTTGTAGTAACAAAATGTCACCATATCACGTATTGCTCCAAAAAGGTGATACTTACAAAGAGCAGATATTCTGCTATTAGAGATATCCTTAGTGTGCGCAAATTGATATAAATGACAGTTATAATGACTTTTGTTCAAATTTCAAATATTATGCCCTAGTGCCAGACATTATGTCCCAACTAGTTTGTCTCTATCATAAAGTGAAATTTAAGTATTATCTTTGTTTAAAGACATATGGCTTAAAATTAAGTGCTTAAAAAAGTGTCAGATGAAATAAAATGGAAGAAATGTGAAAGATGTTTAAATAATGAAAAATTAAGTTTTAAAAACAAATGAAAGAGCTAGAGTACTTTGCTTTATTAAGGAGTTATATCACTATCATTTCCTGAAACTCAAATATCAAAAATTATTTTAATAGTATTTCAGTGGACATAAAGGAAAATAATATTCAAGGAAAAAACTGTATTTGGTTACCTATTTATACATATTGTTTCTTAATCTCACTAATTAGGAGAATATGTGTATAGATAAAATAGTTCAAATAAAGCATAAAATTTATAATTTATTAAATGTACTATGTAATGTATTACAAGTAATAAATTAAGTAATATATTAAGATTTCAAGTAAAAATTAAATGTAAAGATTAGATTACCAATCCTATAAATAAAAACTGAAACATCCTTCTTTATTCTTGAATGATTTCCTAAAAGCACTGGTGTATTAAAATATTTCATTTGATCTTCCTAGCTCCCTGTATGTTTGACACTGCAGCTCTATTTTATAATTTAGGAAACAAATGTGAAAAGGGTAAATTGCTCAAGGTCACAGAGCTAGGAAATGGGGAAGACTTGGCAGGAGCCAAGATTTTCTGACTGCAAACCACATGCACATCCCATCCACGGATCAACATGGCTTAAAAATAAAACATGACATTGGCAAAGCAAAATAAATTAAAAGTCCTCAAATACTGTTAATGGTACTCTAAAAGGCAAAGTTAGAGGATGTGAACTTTTTTTTATTTAAAACTATTCCATTTTACTTAATTTAATCTTAAAGCATTATGTCCTCAATACCCTATATAACGTGATCATTTTCAAAGCCAGGGATGTAAGGAGGTTATACATGACCTTAGTTATTAAGTATTATACCCTGGTGGTAAAATTCAAATAATTACACAGACTTTAAAAAACAACATGAATGATCGATCAAATTAGCTTTTTATTGTTTTATTGCTAAAATACTCATGCCTTTAATCTATTTAGCCTTGATAACCTAAAGTTCAGGTTAACTTCTCAAAACTGTTCACAAAACCACTTTCATACTTTATTCCAGTTCTGTATTAAATCTTTCAGTTTCCTCAGTTTCCTTTCTGACATCCTCACAGTATACTATTTAAAACATTCAACCCCGTATGTTTTGAGGTTCTTAAACAGAGGAATCTTATCTTGCTATTTATGCTATAGAAATCACTAATCTTCATCTAAACTGTGAATTAACTGATCAAAACAGCAAAGTAGTAAACATAAAGGTTAGAAATCCAAGAAACAATCCTTCTAAATTACACGGACCTAACTCAGTAGTCTCTTTAAACATTTCCAGAAATAATACATCAATGATCTTACCCTACATAATTCTGAAGCATTTAATATCAAATAAACACATGAAAATGAGGCCTGAGTATACATTTCCACCCCAGTATACTTGTAGTCAACTGAGGACCTCTAGTGCTTTTTAAAATGTACTCCACCTTCAGTTCTTTCAAAAATAAAACAATGCAAAACAAAACCAATCCACTCATATTCCTGGCGGTATATTTAACTGGCAATCATTTTTCCTTAAAAGTTCTCCTCACATGAGCCTTCCCAAAAGAGGAATCTGAAGCCATCCAAAGCCTCAACTACTACAAGGTTAAAAAGAATATTTTAATTTCGAATAAATTAATTTTAACATAATAAACATAATGAAGACAGGCCAGTGTGCCATCACAACAGCAATGTGCCAATTTCAAAGACAAAATCTCTATATGCTATCGTTTAAGAAAGTTTTCTCAAGGCATAGCTTTAAAGCAATGGAAACATTTCATTATGGGGTCAATTAAGGGGTTGAGAATATATTGATTTTTATGTTTACACAGTTATTTTCATAACCGGGCTGAAGCAGCTTGAAGATTCTTTCAAATAGCCAGTATGGGCCAACAAGCTCTGGAATGCTGCTGTCACAAAATGACTTCAATCAGAACTTCCAAGTTTAACATTAGGCAATCTCAAAAGAAAAATGACTACCAAAATAACTTTTAGATGCTAAGAGATTGATGATAATTCTGATGATGAACTATCCTCATTTAACTCAATAAGTAAAAAAAAAAAAAAAAAAAATACATACACAATCTCTTCTGGATTACCTGCAAAAATGACAGACACTGATTAGTAGGGGGGAAAATCCCCAAATAATCCTAATACAGACAAATCCTGTAAACTCAAATCTATAGAGAATTCTAATCTTGTGAACCAATTAAATAGAAAAAAAAATTCTAAAAAGTGTCAGACTGCAATCTTGGATGTGTATAAAATTTACTAGCAAAATACGACATTTACTAAAATAGATAAAAATAAAAGGGAAGCAAAATTCTGAATTCCATAAATATAGATAAGAAACCTCAGGAATTTATAATTTAAATAGAGGAATACCCCAAAAAGCTAAGTTCAGGAAGTTCTGCAAAGCATTAAAAGTGCTTAAATTAAAGGGAATGACTGCTCAGCATACACATCATCATTATGGTATCAACCATCTAGCAAGTCATAAAGCAGACCACCAAAAGTTTTCAAAAGTCCACTGAGGTTCCTATTGCACAAGAATGCATCTGCTATTATGTTAGGCAATAGGACTCACTATTTCCTATTACAGAGACAAAGTGAAGACTCCTGCAGAAGCTGATATAATACCTTTCGCTCAAAATGTTGCCTAATATGGCACATGATATTTGTTGAAGGATAAGAGCTGCCTGTGGTTTGTCTCTCTTCTTCCACTTCAAAAAACAATATTATCTTGAACTTTATCGTATTTACTGTATTTGGGAGCAACACAGGAAATGTAAACAACCAAAGGCCTTAAATATCCTACAAAAAATAGTAAAGAGTTGGTTATTTCTCCCATCCCTCCAAAAATTCCAGTAATCATAGATCCCACAGACATACAAGATACTCTGTGGGTACTTCCATGCCTCTGAAATACAACTCAAGAAATAGGGATCTGGCATTTCTACACCCAAACTCCTATGAAAGTATCTTTCATGTTTTCAGTATTCTAATTGTAGGGCCTGGGTGATGAATTAATTTTTAAAATGTCCTCACTCCTCTTGTCCCAAACACTTAATTTACACATACTGTGATCCTCTAAATTGTGTGTGTGTGTGGGGGGGGGGCGCTCCAATTTCATCTCCACGGCTGTTTAAGCTAGAGGCATATCCAGAACATCCCAACACCATCTATTTCTGATTATCCTAAAAGAATGCTTTAAAAAAATCAGATAAAATGAAAATAAAGTGAAACTATTTTTCTAGGGTCTCTATCAAATATTATTCTATTAACAGCTTGGCTCTAAGAGGAGGGAAAAAAGACAAGAGGGGTTCTAAACTCATAGAATGGTTGTGAGTGAGGAGAAAAGAATGATAAACACCTGACAACCATGCCATTAATTATGTATGATGTAGTAAAGGTCAAAGACAACTCCAAAGACAGGACTGTGCTGTTCCCACACACAGCTTTTCAATTCTCAACATATTATAGGAAGCCTCACCTTTCTTGTAGGGATGATTTATGATTTATTAATAAACTGGGCCCAATGAACTGAATGCATATGGCTAACATTTCAGCATGTAAAGCAGTTCTAGTTTGGGTTTTAGCCTAAGATTATAAAGTGCCTACAAATTACTTTAGAATTATAACTTTTCTAAATCTGACAGCAAACAAGACACTATCTTTGGTTCTCCTTTATATTCAATTTGTTTCCAGGAACAAAACTCTCCTTTTTCAAAAAGCTGGCTGTTGAAATATTATGAGTCATCTTTAAAATATATTCATTACACTTTAATCAGTAAAGAGCTCTTCTCTTTAGGGCATACTGCTTTGTATTTCACAAACACCAAATACTCATTTGGACAATGTCTAGTTCAGGTTAAAGTTGTTAATCATTAACAATAGCTTATCTAAATTGCAATCCTCTAATGCAAATCCTCTAAGCCTCATTTTCCTCACCTGTAATAGGAAGACTTGAGAATACTGGAGATTATGTGTTCAACCACCATTCCGTTACTCTAAGTGGTTAATCTGTTAATCACAGCACTATTTTTGATCATTATCAATTTCCTAGCAATATTAAAGTAAATCATAAAAAATCGCCTCTTCTACTCCATTGATTTATTCAAATAGTATCAATTATGCACTAAGTACCAGAATACAAAATGAACATGTGGTTCCTCTTACTCATGAAGTAGAAGCCTAGCTGGGAACATAAATATGTAGATCAAAATTACAATACAGCCTGATAGCTAGCTTGATATTGGTAACACTAACTACTGAAAGCCAGCAGAGGTGATAATCAATACTACCTTAAAGAGTAATGGAAGGTTTCATTAGGAAGTGATATTTAAACTGGGCCTTAAGGATCAACTGAAGTTTGCCCGGCAAAGAATCAAGGGCGGGTGGGGCGGCTGTTAGAGTGGAGCGGGGAGGGGCAACATTCCAGGCAGAGCCAGAACAGCATGTGCAAAAGACAAAATCAGAAAAAGGAATGAAGTATTTATGGAAAAGTTACATGTTTCATGTGAGTGAGGCACCACTCATCAGTGTCAGAATAAGGAATGACTCTTGTATATATAATGCTTCCTGATGAACAGCTGGCCAGCTTCCTTCTTTTCCATATTTTGTCTCAAAATAATTTTTAAACTCAGACCTTTTAGACCTAAAACTGCACAAAAAATTACGTTCAAACAGGAATTGCCAATGCTAATCCTTATTCCTTTCTTAACTGTACTATTATATATATCCTTATAATAAGCAACTAATCAAACATATAATAAAGGAAAGAAAGATTTCCTTCAAAAGAAATAAAGGAAATCTTCCCCACTTTTATCCAAATTCAATATATCTACTATAAGCAAATATAAACGGAAACAACTTAAAGGATGCATTTTCTTTAAGAACAAAAGGAAACCCCTTCATATCCATAGTATTTTATCTGAGGAATCCAAATAAAAGTTATTAAATATGTACCAAGTTTAAGCTGCCATTTTCTAAATGGAGAGTGTTATAAATTAAGTAACAGCTACTTGTATTGGATAATGAAGAATGTGTTAGAGACATATATACATACTTATGTATGCATATATGCTACAGAATATGTACTAGAGGAACAACTCTTCAAAAGAATAAAGTTTGATATAAGTTGGCTGTTAGGATCTCTTCACTACAGACCAACACTATGAAGGAGGCCAAATGAAAGTCCAATCTAGTATATAACTCAAATCATTAAACGGCCAAGCTGAAGTACTGAAACTATGGAACCTACTCACCATATAGCACATTTCCTTGTAAAAATGAATGCCAAGTTCTCACTGATCGTGCCTGATATACCATTCCCATTCTTTCAGTTTTCCTCTCTGCTCTCTTCATCACTAGGTCTGTCAGAAATGGAGCTGACAGGTTAATCTGGGTTTTCATGTACTGAGATGGGAGAAAATCACATCTGGCAGCTGGAGTAACGTAGTAGTATCTTGATTAACAATGATATATCAACAAATGTTAACAGACATTATCTGGGTAGTTAGTTATGGTTATTTTTTTATTCCATTTCTTCCATTTTTAATTTTTATTTTAAAATTTACAGACGTATCCTGATTGACAACAAAATATCCCATTAGTAGCTATTATTTAATTTACAGTTTATTGTTAATCAATATCTAATTTTTCTATAATGATCTACTGCTTTAAGTTTTATTTTCTTTGTTTTATTAATTAGCACAAATAATTAATTAGGCAGAAGAGCCTGTAGGAGCTCTGAAAAAAAGCAAATGGAAACCACAATGTGCAAGTACAGGTCATTTGTAAATAGAAACTGTCTGTGGTAGATAGTGAGATAAAGTATGACTTCTGAGCCTGACAGCCTTCAGTATCTCATATCAAATCTTATTAAAATGTTACTTAAAATAGCATATTCTACAAAGCTATAAAATCATATAAAGGAATGACAAACATTTGAATCTATAGTACTGGTAAAACACATCTCATTTATTTTATTCTTACTAAAATCAACATCTGGAAATATTACATGAATTTCTTTTTACCAGATTTGCTATGGAGCTATTAATATGCTAACTTTCACAACAATTATGTTCACAGAGAAATAGTCTTAATGAAAATATGTGGAAGGACTTTCTCCCAAGGGAACAGCCAAAACAAACTGCACCCTAACCGAAACTACACTTCTAGTCATTTTGAGAGGAGGAGGCAAAGACTAAAGTTACTACACTCCAAACACAAGACAAATGAGACATCATGGTGACCCTCACCAAAAAAGACACACTCAGAGAGAGACACACAGGCTAGGGAAACACCTGTGTGTGTGTGCACACATATGCACAGACTATAGAGATTTTAATGTCGTAAATACAAATAATGTTGAGGAAGATGAATTAATACAAAATGTGTTTTACCTGTTCAGAGACTAGGTTACACATATGATCCTAATCCATTTACAATTTTTACATTCCAGGTTACCTAAAAGAAGAGGGTGCTCTCACATTTGGCTGTCCACTTTTCACCTTTCTCTTGATCATTTAAAACTTCAGACTTCCTTGCCTTCCTGTATCATGGAGAAAGTCCAATACCTCACTCGCTCTGCTATAAGAAGAGCTTCAAACATTGAAATGCCTCAACAAGCACGTCAGAATCTCCAGAACCTATTTATCAATTTCTGTCTCATCTTAATATGTCTCTTGTTGATCTGCATCATCGTGATGCTTCTCTGAAGTTCTGCTACAATCTCCAGTGATGCAACTTATTGCCATCAACTTAAAATCTGTCATCCCACGAAAAGAGGAAAAGAGACCACTTCCTAAGTAGAAGAATTTATTTGTGAAAAGGTCAAGATTCAGAACAAATTGATAGCAAATGTATTCATCAGCTGCATCTTGTAAAGATGAAAAGGGCTCTATTATCAAAATTAACTTTAAAATGACTATTAGTATGCATAATGTAACTGCTGATTTCCACAACAAATCTTGTAAGTTTCTATCCCAAACCTTTTCTAAGGCTGAACTAGGGGTTTAGTTTTGAAAACACACTGCTAACAATTTCACTTCATATTTAAGCACTAGCTTCACTATTTGGGGTGAATATAATTTATCTTGTACTGTAAAGGCCTTTTTGGTGTTCATTAATTATATTTCAGGTCTTCGCTAAGTACCAAAATAATCATTCAAAAGAGCTGTCATCACCTGAAATAGCCCACTGAATCCTCACATCTGTTATCTTTATTATTATCATACAGAAATCTTTGTAGTAACTATCATAACCTATATTCTAAAATAGAAATTGTGTTCTTTTTCTATACTTAGCATTTTTTGAAGTTTATAAGAATCAAGTAGGAAAAAGGTATGCCATACTCTTACATAAATAAAATTTTCTCTTAATTAATTTTTTCAAAGAATTATAGAATTCTACTACATGTAGGTAACCATAAATCTATTCTCTCTAGGACATTATAATCAATACATGAGAACTGTCAGTTAATTTAACAGCTGACAATGTGATTAGCCATAATTACTAATAAAGTCTAACCTTAATTTATAGCACTGTAATTGATTATCTGAGTCAGAGTATATAACGTGCCATACTATATCTGTGGAATCATGAAATATTAAGAATTTAGAATGATTTTATAGGTTGTTTTCTCTTCTACCATCATACTCCATGTAGGCAAGGAAAAGAATAAAAGAAAACTGTAATATGATGAGCATTAAAAAAAAATAAAATTTTGAATTCTTGTTCCAAAATTAACTAATTCTTTGATTACATTTTGAAATAAATTTTTCGTCCCTTTGTTGTTTATGACAAGATATAGCTACTTTCTTTAGTCTATCAACCAGATGGTAAACATCTGTTTGGTAGGCCACGCTACTATACTAAATTACACACCCAGCAACGCCAATCTCCAATTATTTTCTTGCAGAATACATTTTCAATTTCCCCTCTGCCATTTAAAAATATCTTCCAACAATTCATAAAACAGAAGTAAAAATTAGTAACAGAAAATTTATTCATCAAAATTGGGTAATTTAAGTTGACTCAGTTTAAAATTAAGTCTAAAATGGCTTACACCTATACTGCATCATCTAATAATTTTAACCACAGTTCAAAACATATTACTAATATAGCAATTATTTAAAAAGTTGAGAATGTGTGATTTATTACATGATGTGTTAAAATATGGTTACTAAAAGAATTTGAAAAGTCAATATTGACCTTGGTTTGTAACACAAGTGCTGCTAGTTGAATAGTGATGGAAACAAATTTTTCTGAATCCCTGAGCAGTACAGGAGATGGGGTTGGAGGGCAGTTCACTGACACCTGAGGAACAGAGGGAAAAGAGATCTCATACTGATGGGGATTTCCTGAGCAAAGCTTCACCTACGGGTTGATGATCCCTAATATCAAATAGAAAGCTTATAAATAAAAGATACAATCACTTCACTGGTATAACTGCCCATGCAAAAAGTAACCGAGTTCTATAATTATCTGCATGCTCTTAAAAATAAGTGGAAAATTTGAAATATCTCTATTCCTTTTATTATATTATGCACTACAACATCAACTTCAAACTATAAACTGTAAAGATATGAGGTTTCTCCTAAATAAAACTGGAAGATTTTTTTTCATTCTGCCTTTAATAGAAATTAAAACCTTATACTACCTGATGATTACAGAATATTGTAACTTAGGTATAATGTAGAACAAAAACCCATTCTTTAAATGAAACTTATTTACTATTCATCATGATGTATAAAGAGTAAGATATAATAAAATAATGTATTTAAAAATTTTTAAATACCAAATTCTCAAATACCTTCTACCATAGAATAAATTCTAAACTTAATTTACAGAATCCTAAAAATGAAGTAATTTTTAAATGTTTAATGTGGCTTTTATATTTTGTTTCAAAATGTTCATTTAATATAAATCATATTAAATTTTTATATTTAATAAAATATATTATATTAAAAAGAACCTTCTTGAAATGCAAAAAGTAACCAAGTTCTTTAATATCATTCTTTAATATACTCATGACTGATATGACCATAAAAAATCTAATATAAGCAGTTTTGATTTTGTAAGTTGTTTTCAGTGACACTCCCCATATAAAATAAGATCAAGATTTCCTAATACTGACACAAGAGGGCAGACTTACATAAAATAATGAATTTCCTTCTACCTAGAAATTACTTATCCTTTGATTACTTTTGCGTCTTACGGCAAAGTGGAAAAATGTTAAATTTTCAAAAAAGATCTTCAATAAGTAACAACACACTTTAAAATGTCTAAAAATTATATGCCAATACCATGTAGAAAAGTTGACAGATGAATAAAAGTCAAACATGTTATTTATTAAAGCATGCATACAAAAATCATTTATTTGCTTTTTAACTAATGAATGTGTCATAATGGCATATCCTATCTATTCAGAGTGTGATAGTGCCTACATCTTTAAATGAGTATTATCTTAAATATTAAAAAAAAGACAAAACCGTACAAAATAATAAAACTTTCTTTTCAGAGTATGTAATAGAATACATAAAACACTCTCATGTTAAAACTTTTTCATTCTGATATCGAGTTAGACAAAATCCAAGTCATTTGTCATTTTTATCAAAATTTTTATTTATATTTTTGATTTATATGAGAGAAAATTTTCAGTGAAATATGTTAAAATCATTAGGAGCCTGTATCTTGGCTGCTCAAACCCCTCCATGATTTAAATAGGCACCAAATTTTATTTTCCTCTTTTTAATGGCTGCAACCCAGAACTTAAAAATATCCTAGAGAATATAAGAGAAAAGAGGATAAACAATTTTATCAATAAAGAAACCCCCTTTTCACTACTGTCTGGAAGATCCACTGTGAACTTACAGAAATCCAGTGGATACTATTGTGTGTACAAACCCTCCATTCCTTTCCCACCCACTACCACCCCTCCCCCAAGAAAAAAAGAAATGCAAGAGGGGCATGGAAAGGGATACATCCTTTACAAAAAGAAAACAAGACTGTGTTGTTTGTTTTTTTCTTCCGTCATAGTCCTTGAAGGTCAGACAGCTTTGGGGGAGGGTGGGAGGAGAAGGGTGATACAGAACACAGGAAAGAATGAGAGACACTGGTGGACATTGCACATGGAGGCCTATACTCTAACCAACTGAGGGCACAGATGGCTTCTCTTCATTCACAAAGAAAAATGCTTCAGAGTACTAAATTCCCTGCACTGCAGCTGATTTAGTAGCAAACTATGGGGATCAAGGAACACAATACATATAAGATTGTGAGGCTGACTCAATTAATTATTCTGGCCTGAGTTCTAAGAAGAGTAAAACTTTCATGTTACAATATTAACCTTTTGAGAAAGAAAAGGGTTTAGAGGCTGTGAGGATCAATTGAGATAAAATACTCTGAGAGCTACAAAGGTCTATATAAATCTACAGTGGTGTTAGTGACTCTCAGCTAAATTCCTTTTCTTTGTTGTAATAGAGTTGCTGTTTGTCATGTTGAGGGTTTAACAACTGTGCTTAAAAATCACACACATTCTCAAATGGGAGAAAATAAGATGATTCTTACTGTGGCTCTCTCCTTCATGTAAAAATTAGGCTAAAAGGAAGTCAATCTTTTAAACAGTCTTTTAAGAAACAACTAAGGTGAGAGCTTTTAAAGTAAAGATAGTACTTGGACCCTGGACACTCCAAGGAGAAAGTATTTAAGAATTTTTCCTGTAACAGTCCAAGAAGGGAATCAGAAGAGAAGCAGTCATTTAAATATTGCAACTGAAGTGTCTAAAGTTTTCCTTACATAGTTTCATCTTTCTACTCTAAAACTTAAAATCACTATAAAGAGATCATCCCAAATATGGTTAATCAAAAAGAGGGACTTTCCAGGGTGCATACAAATTTTGTCCCTTAACAGCCATCCTCTACTGTGCATTGAGAAAATTTAAAATTAAGTTTTACTCTACAAAGTACCTCCAAGATCCCTACCCTCGCTGTATTGTCAAGGTTGGGAAAAACTTTGCTTATAGCAAAGGTTGCTCCAAGCAGATAAAGAATGAATTAATACTTATTCCTTTAAATTCACCCAATTTTCTCAGTTACCTACTTCAGGTTGGAGTAGAACACTCAGACTCCCTGGATCCCTGGACAACTCCTCCCATTCTGTGTAAAGACACCACCTGAAGAAGTAACCCTAATCACAAACATCTGAGAACTTAAATATATAGTATTTTTAAACTTGGGTTTCTTATCTTTCAATCATTTAAACTGATAAATCACAAATAAATCTGGTTAAATTACTGACTTGTAATTTAGACATCATAATTATGCCTCTGGTTATGTGCTTTAAATATATAGTCTAGAACTGTGTCTAAAATAAGAGCAAAGGCGGCACATGGGATGTGTTAAGGGTTCTCCTGTAAATGTAGCACTTCAGGTTGTGTATGTTTTGAGACTGTACTCAGATTTGTGAGGTTCCTAGATAAGTCATCTCCTTACCCTTTCATAGAATACATTCTTTGAATCTGCATTATTTTTTATTAGTAGCAGTAATAAATAAAATTTTTGCTCTAGGAAAATTTTGCCCTTTTTGATAGAATTAATTTGTTTACATGAAAAGGTGCTCAATATTACTAATCGTCAGGAAAATGCAAATCAAACCACAATGAGATATAAACTCACACCCTTTAGAATGGCTATTATAAGTATAGACAAGAAAAAAAGTATAGATAAGAGATAAGTGCTGACAAGAATGTGGAGAAGAGGGAACCCTTGTGCACTGTTAATGAGAATGTAAACTGGTACAGCCACAATGGAAAACTATGGAGGTTCCTCAAAATATTAAAAATAGAACTACCTTGTGACCCAGCAATTCCACTTTGGGGTATTTATTCAAAGGAAACAAAACACTAACCCCAAAAGAAATATGTACCTCCATATTCACTGCAACAGTATTTATTTACAATGACAAGACATGAAAGCAACATAAGTCATAGGTACAGAAAATAGATTAGTGGTCGTTGCCAGAGGCTGGGGCTGGGGGCCTGGCCTGTACTACATGTTTGAAAGTTGCTAAGAATGTAAATCTTAGAAGTTCTCATCACAGAAAAAAAAATGTAACTATGTATGGTGATGGATGTAAACTAGATTTACTGTGGTGATCATTTTGCAATATATACATATTTCAAATCATTATGTTCTATGACTAAAACTAGTTATCTTGTCAATTATATTTCAATTAAAAGAATAAGAAACTGAAGCCCAGAAATATTAAGTATTGATTAGGTAGAGAATCATCCAGGCTCTGAATGTGACAGAAGCAAAAACAATATCCAAGACTTTGTATTCCCAAGTTAATGTTCTATGATACTATGTCGGCTCCTTTCTTCCCATTTCAAGTTTCTTTAGAATGAATATGTTTTGCTTTGTTTATTTTTACGTCCATTTAACAAACGAGAAAAAGTAAAGACCAAGTTAGATACAAACTTTTGAAGTTTTTCATGTTAATCAGCCTCAAATATTTTTTAAGTTCTGTTTACTAATGCAGTACTTTTGGAATTTATAATATCTACACCTATTTACTTTCAGGGGAAAGAAAAAGCAATCCCTATGTGTGAACACACTGTTGTATGCTTACGGCAAGTGTGCTATTGTGCTCATGATATCCACTGGAGGGAAGCAAACACTAGATTTTGAGCCTTACCTTCATTGGTGTTTCACTTTCTTCTCGAAACTCTTCAATTTGCTGCTGTTGCCAAGGAGCTAAACTGTAAGAGTCCTCTGTAGTTCTACCTTCCAAAGGGTTTGTCCGCAGCTGCTCTGTAAGCCACATCTGCGTCCTAACAGATGGCTGAATGGGAACTCCACCTACTGCCTGCTGACCAAGCATTAAATATTTCAGAGGTTCAAAAGCCTCTGAGCCTGTCATATTCGGCTTGCTTTCAGGTAAGGCACTATATGTCATGTCTAAGGTCTGTCTCCTAAGAGTAGAGGAAGAAGCTCTAAAGTCCTCTTTGCTACAGCTCTCAAATTTATATTTGCAATCCAGAGTTGATGATCGTTTTTTATTTATTTCCTTGTCCTCTAGCTTAAGCATCTCCATACTATCATGTAAGCAGCTAGGCCCAATTGTCCTTAGTTGTGAAGTTAAAGCCTTGCCTCTCCCTGTCTTTTCCAAATCACTCCTTAACATTTCGGTGTGTGCAATGCCATCCTGGCTGCAGTCATCCGGGATAGTGAGTTTGGATAAAGATGACCATTTCCGGAGGGGCCGGAAGTCCTTCATGTCTAGTGAAGAGTCCTGCTCCCCCCTTCTGTGGTTTCCCAACGTCTGCATGAGGCTTGAACTCCATTTTGAGCCATCTGATGTCAATGATTCCCTGTGTTTGGAAACTGAAGCGCTGGAATTAGACGGCATGACATGGGCAGTAGGAAGAGTAACCAATGACCGACTAGGCTTAAAAGATAATGTGCCACTTGAAGTTGAATGATCTGGAAAGAGAAAAGAATGCCAAATTAGTTGTAATTAACGGGGGGTGGGGGGGAGGCGAGGAGGATGAGGCAAAATGCAAAATTCCAGAACAAAAATTTTAATATGGTTTCCCAGCACCAGTTTTTCAGAGGCACTTTATCAAAATTAGAATATTATTCTTACTATTATTACTTTATCTGAAACAGATCAAACTTTCAAAAGTTATCATCTGAAAAATGTATACATGAAAAAATATATACCTCATTTTCCATCTACCAAAAGATGAAAAATGATTTGAAACAGGTTTATATTCACTAATCTAAGTGCTGTGCCTTTAAAAGAAAAAGCCACCTCCCCACTAAGCAGTCAAACTCACAATCCAGCATTAAAGACAGACACAAATCTAAAAGAAAGTGGTATTTTTCAGTATCTTTCCTAAACTACAGAAATCTATGCCAAATCTGAACATTTTAGCACTTTTCCAAAACTAATTCAAATCAGAAATATGGGTAAAGGAGTTCCTGCAATATTGGAAAATAATCAAAAAAGGTTTTAACAATATTTCTACAGATACAGAATAGTTCTTATGTCTTTCTTCCTTAATACCATCGCCAATGATTTATTTCTCAAGCTAGAGAAATATACTCTTGTTTGGAGTATACTTCGTTTCCTATCTTTTTCTGTACAGCCACTAAATCCCCAAGTTGTAAGTTTTCACTTCCAAAATTATTACATAGCTATAGCTTTAGGTCAGGTCTTCATTTAATATTGTTCTACAAACGGAAAGTTTTAGTAGGCTCTATGCCAGCAACCAAAAGATAAATAAGGGCCTCTATACTCAATGGACTTACCATCAAGTACAAAATAATCATCAAATGTGCCAAATTAAAAGCAAAGATTATAATTTTTATCAGAGGATATGTAGAAAGGGGATAGCAATTTGAAGTGTGGGGGGAGAGGAGGTGAGCAGTGAAAAGCAACTTCCTCAGTTTATTCTATATCTTTCCATATTGTTTGACTCATACTAGAATATATTTAAATATATTGCTTCTGAGCTTTTATATTGTTTTAAAGAAATAAAGTAATGGGAAAAAAATGTTGAGAAAGTCATAAGAAAATTCAAATTCAAACTAGGAAGACTAATTTAAAAATTGAATTCCAGTAAGTCTTTGCACAGAATTTATTCACCTGGAGATGAAGAGAGAGAAATATTACAGATGAAAGGATACAGCAAGAAGTATAGTGGATGTTTATCACATTCAAGCTTCTCATCGACTTCTGCAAAATCTTTTTATACTCAGGAAAATTCCCACACTGTATGTCTAACCTCCCAAATAAATGTTAGACCTCAAATTACCAACAGATACCCTGCAACTATTATGTAAGCATTCAGAAGCACGTGCGCAAGATTTCAGTATGGAAGTGAGTCGCGTGAGAAAGTGGGCTCTGCGTGGAGTTACCATTTTTGCCTGGCATGGGCAACAGCAGAGTTATCAGCCTTCTACAATGGCAGCAACAGAAGTAGCCTAATCAAGTTCCAGCCCAGAGGTGGCAGCAGTTGGGCAGGACTGCTGGTTTCCTCCAGGGCTTGATGGGCCAGGAGAGTGACAGTTCTTAGAGATGATTTGAGGCATTTTACCTACAAGCTTAACCTTAAGACTGATTCACCAACCCGCCCTCAAAATTGTGTGAGGTACCACACACACTTAAACAAATTTCTTATCTACTCCATCAGTCAGTCAGCTTCTTCTGCTGATTAAGAACACTACCCGATCCAAGCATGAAGCCAGAGAATGTAGTTCCAATAGAAGAAAAACAAACTATCCATTTCTCTGCAGTATAGAGTATCAAGAAAAGCTGCTCAAGCTAAATCTTGAAAGATAAAGGTGGAGCACAGTTGTCCAAGTCTTCAAATGCCCTGCTAAGGGAAGAGCCTGGCCTTCATTCAGCAAGAAATGTGATATCACTGAAAGTTTCCAAAAGAGTGACAGGATCAAAACTGCACTTACGATGATTATTCCAGTAGCAGTGCTGAAGATGGATTAAAGCGAAATGACTGGCAACAGGAGGATTAACAGGCTATTATGAAGTCAGCAGAAGAAAATAGAGTGAAATATGCTACTGAAGGTCAGTTTATGTTCCTACAGAAATAGAACAAATATTCCTAAAAGTCTATGGAATATTTGTATTAATATATTATAGAATTACATCTATTTATCATATAGATGCTTGTGTTACTATGCCTAAAGAAACATTTGTATTAAAATCACCACAGCCTCTTAAAAATATCTTTAATTTTTTTAAAAACAAAAATTTTCATATCAAATTTGAAATTTTCTATTTTTTATATTTAAAAAAATTTTAGGTAAAGGTATAGTGTAAAGGTTGAGTGTAATGTTTTGAAATCAGTTGTTTTAGATTCAAATCCTGGCTCTACCACTTAGTAGTTACCTGTCCTCAAATAAGTTATTTAACCTCCTTGCATTATAGTCATCTCATCCATAAAGTGGAGATGAGAACAGTGAAGATTAACTGAAATAATACACATAAAGGATCCAGAAGAACTCCTGTCACAAAGCAAAATGTTAGTTATTATTACACCATTTAAAAAGCTAAAAACCAATGTTATTTTCAATATAAAAGACAAAAAGCTAATGTCTATATGATACAAAGAACTTCAAAAATTAAAAAAAAAAAAAACCTAACAATTCAATTTTAAAATAGGCAAGGGAAATCAATAAGCAAATTACCAAACAAGAAATGCAAACTAAAATATACATGTTAAAAAAAAAAAAAAAGATGTTCAAACTCACTAATAGTAAAGCACACTCCCTTATCAGATTTATAAAATTATTAAAGGCTACAATATTCTGCAATGATGAGAACAAAAAGTGTTATATAGACTTTGAAAATCTTGCATATATGTTAATATTTAAAATATGTATGCAAATATATATATAATCATGAGCAAAGAAAGGGTATGAAAGAATACACCCAAAATTTAAAAGTAAACTTTGCATAGTGGAAACAGAAGAATAGGAGAAAGATGCTTTCACATTTTATTTCATACCTGCCTTGTTTTAATTTCTTTTCAAGGAGCATAACTTTACAATCTGTACAAACCTCTGCAAAGATGTTTTGTTTTGTGGCCTCAAAGAGTTTGAAATATCTCAAAGTACACTGTTACTAAAGTATGAATAATATATCAGGTGACTGACTGTCTCACTTTCCATGTCACAGCTGAAACCTCTGAGAGCAGAGATCATCAGTCTTGGCTGCTACTTATATCTGATAATGTGCTACTTTCTCATCTACCTTTGCTAGCTCATTATTTCCCAACTGCACAGAAAATCAACAATTGGTAATAAGAACCCAATTCCATATCAGACTAGTATTTACTTCCACAATTCTGAAAACAGTTGATATATGCTGTTCAAAAAACATTACATTGAGGATAGTATTTACTCCAAAAGTCACTTATCTGAAGTTATCAAACTTCAGCATACAAAATAAGTTATTTGGGATCTAGAGCCCTACCTACTCCATTAAAGTAGAGAGGGGCTCAGGAAATAACACTTTTTAATAAGTGATTCTGCATTTCTATTCACTACAACATCATTCCACCTGAGTCTCATTCCAGTTCTGAAGCCTTCAAGCTTAAATATTCCAAGTTCAACATCTCAGTTCTAGTGTAAAAATTGATTTCCTATAACATTCAGAATTCATTAGTGTAAAAACTAAAGATTAAAGCTTAATGTATTCACACACATATGTACATACAAACACATGCACACACACAATATAAATAATAAATGAACAAGGAATTAAATATTTGACAGTATGAATCTCTGAAAAAAGGACCATATATCTTAGAAAGAGATAGGTCCAGAAAATATTAATTTTAACATTTTTAACACATTAAAATGTTATTTTTCCCTAAGGAAACACAGTCAATTAGAGGTAGATGCAATGCAATGTGCTTTATTATACTATCTAATTGTAGCCACAAATCTCAAATGCAAATTATTACAATGGCATGTAGCCCATATCTAAGTTAAAACAATGAAATCTGAAACCAGCAGAGAATAGTTCTTTTAAAAACCAGAGACAGGGTTTATAGTATTCAGAGAGAGCAAAGAAGAGCTAATGGTTTCAGACAGATTTCAGACAGATTTCAGTAAGGGAAAAATAAAAGAAGACATTGTTGTAACCTGATATAATGCTAGTAAATTATATTGAAGAAAACATACCATGAATTCTGAACAAATCTCAACCTTTTGTTTTACTGTCATGTTACTCTTATCTGGTAATGGATGAATTCATTGATTCTATCTTCTGATATATAGGAATAGTCTATCTCTGCTTTAGCCTTCTTAAAGGAAAAGAATTAAATTCAAAAAGAACACATCCTCCAGACCTATATTATAACAATAAACTGAGTCTTTACAGCTAAAAAAACATAATCAGAAAATTATATAACACTGTATCAAAATATTGATTTTAAATGTAACAGCTTAAATATATCTATCAGTCAATATTATTATATTTTATATTTTTAAACAAAAATGTTAACTCTAACCTAAAGTCAATAATTTGGTTTTTATACAACACCATACTTTTTCCTTTCCTGCTAATGCCACAATCAAATCACAAGTAAAAAATTTTTAATGATACATGTAACTACATCCTTTAAAAAAAATTCTAGTCATTTGCAATATTTTTAGGTAAATTTTTTTTAATAATCTAAACTAAAATCTGGTAGTAAAAATGTTATATACAGAGTCCAACAATTCTTCAACCTAAGAATCTCCTAGGAGGGTATTATGCACAAGGTGCTATGTTAGGTAGAAAAGACAATGCAAACATATCATTCACAATATGAATATAATCCTTCTCTTTGGAGTTTACAATTTCACTATTATACATACAGCTGCAGAGCAAGACTAAAGTTTATCATAAGGAAACTACAAAAACCAGACAATGAAAAAGGAGTCAGAGAAAAGGCAGACTATTAATAAAA